AGGGATATAGATTATGGTGCCCAGAGGCTTCGGGAAAGAAGATCATTGTTAGCTGGGATGTGACCTTTCATAAGCCTGCGATGTTTACTCCGTAGAAGGAAGAAGTTGATTCAGGGAGAGCTCAGGGTGTTAGTGAGTAGGTAGAGCATGTAGAGGTTCAATTAGAGGATAGTTATGTTCGGTCGACTCACAAGCAGGTGCAGTTTCGGGTTGAGGGAGATGCACGGTTGTAACAGTATAGTGTGGCTAAAGACAGGCCTAGGAGGGATATTAGGCCACCTGAGAAGTATGAGTTTTCATATGCTGATTTGGTTACTTATGCACTTAGTGTGGCAGAGGATATTGATGAGCCATGTACTTATTATGAGGCCATCATTGGTGGAGAGTCAGCACAGTGGTTTGTTGCTATGAGTGAGGAGATTAGTATCTTCATAAGAATTAGACTTGTAAATGGGTCTTCAAGAAGGAAGGAATTCCAGGGGCGGAAGATGCGAGGTACAAGGCACGCTTTGTGGCGACGGGCTATACACAGATGGAAGGGGTGGACTTCAATGAAGTATTTTCTCCCTATGGTGAAACATAGCTGAATCCGGGTGTTACTTGCTATGGTTATTCTATATGACTTGGAGTTTGAGCAACTTGATGTCAAGACGGCTTTCTTACATGGTGAGTTGGAAGAGCAGATTTATATGCATCAACCTGAGGGGTTTGAGATTCTAGGAAAGGAAGATCATGTTTGCCTATTGAGAAAGTCTTTGTATGGGCTGAAGCAATCTTAGATAGTGGTACAATCAATTTGACACCTTTATGGTTAGGAATGGCTACTGTAAGAGTAAGTTTGACAGTTGTGTGCATCACATGAAGCTCTCAGATGGTTCGTATTTGTACTTGTTGCTGTATGTTGATGACATGTTGATAGCTTGCAAGAACATGTCTGAAATCAACATGTTGAAGGCTCAACTTCAAAGAGGATGAAGGATCTTGGTGTTGTAAAGAGGATATTGGGTTTGGAAATTCATAGGGACAGAGGAGCGGGTAGATTGTATTTGTCACAGAAGAAATACATTTAGAAGGTGCTGGAACACTTCGGTATGTAGGCATCAAAGCCTGTGGGTACTCCAATGGCTGCCCACTTTAGACTTTCAGTATGATTGTCACCATAGACAGAGGAGGAGGTGGAGTACATGTCTCGTGTTCCTTATGCTAGTGCAGTTGGTAGTCTTATGTATGCTATGATGTATACTAGGCCATACATTTCACATGAAGTTAGTGTAGTGAGCAGATACATGGATAGACCTGGGAAGGTCTATTGGTAGGCTATGAAGTGGATATTACGATACTTGCGAGGCATTACAGATGTTAGGTTAATCTATAACAGAGGCAGCGACACATGTGGGAGTGTTGCTGGATATGTTGATTCGGATTATGCTGGAGATCTTGACACGAGGAGGTCCTTGACAGGGTATGTCTTCACTCTTTATGGGAGTGTGATCGGTTGGAAGGCGACTTTGCAGCCCGTAGTTACATTGTCTACTACTGAGGCTGAGTACATGGCAGCTACTGAGGCAGTGAAGGAAGCTACATGGTTGAGAGGCTTGGTTGGTGATTTGGGCTTGCAACAGGATGGTTTGACTGTGTTTTGCAACATCCAGAGTGCCATACATCTGATTAAAAATCCGATGTTCTATGAGAGGATCAAGCATATTGATGTCAGGTTTCACTTCATCAGAGATGTGGTTACACAGGGTGCTATTACAATAAAGAAGATTGGATAACAGAGAATCCAATATATATGATGACTAGGTCATTCCTGCACTCAAGTTCAGACACTGTCTGGACTTGATTGGTAATTGTAGTTGCTCAACCCCTTAGGGACATATGGAGAAGGCGAAAGGAGTAGCTGGAGATCGTGGATCTTGGCGTAATTCGAGCCAAAGTGAAGATTTGTGATGTTGTGGCCCGAATTTGGTGCCAGGTTGCGTTGGAAAAATTTTGACGATTTTTTTCTCATGTGTCGTGGACCCTAATTAGTCTATTATAGCCCGATATATAAGGGTGCTTAGGGTTTGGAGTGGTGTAAGAGAGAAAGACTAAAATTCATATAGAAACAGAGTGATGGACTGAAAACTTGTAACGATTCTAAACATAGTGAATACTTTCACTGGATCTCCACCGTGGACGTAGGTTGTTGTCGAATCACGTATAAATCTTTGTGTTCTTTGTGTGGTGTGTTTACTTTTCTGTTGTGATTTTTGGTTTTATCTTGGGTTCGCTACATTTGTTGTAACAGACACAAGTATTATGCATAAGTTTTTGGGCTATTGTATGTATTGTGGCTTATATATATACGCACCATAATTAACATTGCATTTAGGTTTTTACATATACGCAAACATGTACTATGTGAGAGGTGAGAAATGGTGTAAGTGGGCAAGGCCATTTTTATCTTTTTATTTTAGTTGCTTAGGTTAGCATGATACATACAATAGTTGTATTAGAGAGGAGGTAGTTTGGCAATTTTACCTCTACAATCTAACCCAGGGATGCTAAGATTGGATGGTTAGAGCAGACTTGCTACAATTGATAGCAGAGCATGACTGGTCCCATCCGTACATAAAGTACATTTAAAATAAAGCCCAACACCCTTCCCATCCGTATAAGTAGAAATATAAAAAGAAGAAGAAGGAAAGAATTGTGTAAAGACTTAAATGAGATTAATCACTCATTCACAACTCTAGTATTTATAGATAAAAAGAGTACATGCTCATATTACAAGAAGGGAAACTAAATCAAATCTAAATCAAATTAAAGCATATTCTGTAGCATAATTAAATCTCTGTTAATATGGTAAGTCATTCCATGAATCGTGGCTATCATATCTGCTAACACTCCCCCTCAATTTGGTGCATGGATATCTGAGATGCCCAACTTGGACAATGCATCTTTAAACATGGTCTTGCTTGCACCCTTCTTCAAAATCTACAAGTTGCAGAGTGTAAATCTGACTAGCGATGATTTTCTCTAAAATGAAGTGCCGATCAACAAATCAACAATGTCTCCTCAGACCATAAACAACCAATCATGTCCCATCAGACCATAAACAACCAACAATGTCTCCTACAATATAGAAGAAAGAAAAGAGGAAGGAGAAAATTGTGTAAACACTTGAATGAGATTAATTACTCATTCACAACTCTAGTATTTATAGATAAAAAGAGCACATGTTTATATTACAAGAAAGGAAACTAAATCAAATCAAAGCATATTTTATGGCATAATCTATAGTATAATCAAATCTTTGCTAATATGGTAAGTCATTTCATAAATTGTGGCTATCATATCTGCTAACACTCCCCCTCAAGTTGGTGCGTGGATATCTAAGAAGCCCAACTTGAACGATGAATCTTGAAACACGATCTTGCTAGCTCCCTTCTTCAAAATCTACAAGTTGTAGAGTGCAAATCTGATTAGCGAAGATTTTCTCTCAAATGAAGTGTCGTGCCGATCAACAAATCAACAATGTCTCCTCAGATCATAAATAATCAACAATGTCTCCTTAGACCATAAACAACCAATCATGTCTCATCAGACCGTAAACAACCAACAATGTCACCTAAGACCATTTCTCTTCGTACACATGTTTAAACAATGTAGATGAAAGAATCAACAATGTCTCCTCAGACCATTAAAAAAAAAACTACTATGTCTCTTTAGACCATTTCTGAATGGGTGGTACTGAATTCACAAGTAAAAATATAAGTAGAAGAAAAAGAAGAGAAATATGCCAAAGGTTTAAATGAGATAAATCACTCATTCACAACTCTGGTATTTATAAATAAAAAGAGCACATGCTCATATTACAAGAAAGGAAACTAAATCAAATCTAAATCAAATCAAAGCGTATTTTAAAGCATATTTTATGGCATATTCTATAGCATAATCAAATCTCTGCTAATATGGTAAGTCATTCCATAAATCGTGGCTATCATATCTGCTAACAGTATCCGATGTTGGACAAGGCCTTGTGACTATTAGTCTGTTTTAAATATAATCAGTTGACAGCCTGAGTGTTGAAAAGAAAGTAAAATCAGAAGGGGGAAAAAAATCAAAATAGTATAAACCAAAAACTATATTTTATTTGTTTGTAGCAGTCCTATGCATGCCTCAAATGATTTGATATATCTATAGTAAATTATTTTTTCTTCACATGTTCGAAATCGCTCCTTTACAAATACTATTTCTTCATGTCACTTGAACTCAATTATCTCTTCTATGAAATCAATTTACATTTCAATTTCTTGATCAACATTTAGTTAATCTTGTATTTTATCCAAAAGCATGCCATTCAGCTGGTGCAAACTCAACAGGTATATAAAAAGATCTTTCAATTCTTTTACATGAAATAGGGCTATTTTGGTAATTTTGCAACAAATGTGCTTTCCCAAAATACTATTTCAGCTAAAAGTAACAACTCAAAGAAAATAATTCTAAAAAGGAAAGCATAACCAAGTCTTTTACCTCAGATCTTAGAAGAAGTTCGAATTTCCTTGGAGCCATCTTTAGAGAATTTCCTGGTAATTGTCTGGTGCATGTGGGACAGGTAAACTGCATGTACTCAGTGGTGAAATATGAGAACATTGATAAAAAATAAACAAATAAATAAATGGAAGAAAAAAAGTTGAATGGAAAAGGAAATCCGAACTTCTTCTAAGATGTGAGGTGAAAGACTTGGTTATTCTATCCTTTTTAGGATTATTTTCTTTGAGTTGTTACTTTTAGCTGAAATAGTATTTTGGGAAAGCACATTTGCCTAGAATGTCATAAATGTGTGTCAATATGCTTAGATATGTAGTTGTTTCAGTTTCTCTTTACAGTTCATTTATATTTCTGTTGGGGAGATTCAATAAAAAATCAACCAGCATTGAATAATATTTCTTCATTTCATTATTATGAATTTTAAGTTCTCAACTTACCACATAGTCATGATTCTAACTCTACAGGCATGAGTCAAAATGTATTGTACAAATAGTTGAAGAGATTTTCAATAAACTGAACCATAGATCTCCACTTGCTGCCCAATATCTGGTTGGAACAGAGTCTCGTGTGGAGAAAATGAAATCATTGTTGTCTGAGGGTTGGATGAGGTTCGTTTTATAGGAATATGGGGAATGGGGGGAATAGGTAAGACAACTATTGCAAGAGCTGTTTATGACCGGATCTATCATCAGTTTGAGGGTAGCTGCTTTCTCGCAAATGTTAGAGAAATCTCAGAAAAACAAGGTTTGGAAGCTTTACAAAAACAACTCCTTTCTGAAATACTTATAGGGATTAATATAAATATAACCGATACTGTTAGAGGAGCAAACATAATAATATCCAGACTACGTTTTAAAAGAGTTATTGTTGTTCTTGATGATGTGGATAAACGGGAGCAACTAGATGCAATAGCTGGAGAGCGTGGTTGGTTTGGCGTTGGAAGTAGAATCATCATAACGACACGAGATAAACATTTGTTAACTGCTCATGGAGTGAATGAAAGTCACGCAGTTGAGGCATTGAATGAAGATGAAGCTATCCAGCTCTTTTCTTTAAAAGCCTTCAAACAATATTTTCCTTCTGAAGGTTATTTGGAGCTCTCAAACCAGATAGTAGATTATGCTGGTGGCCTTCCATTAGCACTTACAATTTTGGGTTCTTTTCTATATGGTAGAAAAACAGATGAATGGAAAAGCACATTGATTAAGCTGCACAAAATTCCTAACAAAGAAATTCTTCAGGTGCTTAAAATCAGTTTCTACGGACTGGATGAAATGGAGAAGGAAATTTTCCTTGATATTGCATGCTTCTTCAAAGGGAAACACAAGTGTAATGTAACAAGAATACTCAACAGTTGCGGCTTCTGCCCTGGAATTGGAATACCTGTTCTTATTGAAAAGTCTCTCATAACTATTTCAAACGATCGGTTTTGGATGCATGATTTGATACAAGATATGGGTTGGTATATTATTCATCAAGAATCTCAAGAATCTTGGAAACGTAGCAGGTTGTGGCTTCGAGAGGATATTTGTTATGTGTTGACAGAAAATATGGTAAGATAGCTTGGGAAAAATCAGCCTTTTTACTAACAGACATTTTTATTGAAGAAGCCACATTTTTTAATCCTAGCAGACATTTTATATTGTATCTCTTACTTCTACTTTGTGCTCTCGGTTGTTATGGGGCAGAAAAAGTTGAAGCCATAGTCTTGGAACTGCCTAAACCAGAAGTTGTTGACCTTAATTCTGAGGCCTTCACAATGATGAAGAAACTAGGGCTATTCAAAGTCCATAATGTGGTGTTCAATAAGGGCCCAGCATATCTTCCAAATGAGTTGCGGTGTCTTGATTGGCATGCATACCCTTCAGGTTGTCTGCCTGCAAGTTTTCGGGCAGAGAATCTTGTTGAACTTAGCATGTGTTATAGCAGCATTAAACATCTTTGGAAGGAAATAAAGGTATGCTCAATATTATATATTTGAACTTTATTGAATAGACTCTCCTTTTCATTAGAGCCAGTTATTCTAATATTTTTCATTTGTTTCAACAGCCTCTGACCAAGTTGAAAGTCATCAACCTTAGTTACTCCCATAGGTTATCCTTGACCCCGGACTTCACAGATATTCCAAATCTGGAGACACTGATTCTTGAGGATTGTATGAGTTTGGTAGAGGTTCACCCATCCATTGGAGTTCTCAAAAGGCTTGTTTTTCTAACTTTGAAAGACTGCAAAAATCTGAAGAGATTTCCGAATGGTATTCACATGGAATGTCTTGAGACTTTTATTCTATCAGGCTGTTTGAAATTGGAAAAGTGTCCAGAAATCTTGGGGGATATGGCACGTTCATCAAAACTTTATTTGGATAGAACTGCCATAAAAGAAATGCCCTTGTCAATTGAACATCTCACTAACCTTACTTTGATGGATTTGAGTGAATGTAAAAATCTTACAAGTCTTCCAAGAACCATTCGTAGGTTGAGATGTCTAAAAACTCTCATCATCTCTGGATGTTTAAAACTAGAAAAGTTTATGGAATTATTGGTTAATATGGAATGTCTATCAGAACTTTATTTGGATAGGACATCCTTAAAAGAACTGCCCTCGTCAATTGAACATCTCACCAGCCTTACTTTAATGGATTTGAGTGAATGCAAATACCTTATGAGTCTTCCAAGAACCATTTGTAGGTTGAGCTGTCTAAAAAGCCTCTCTCTCTCTGGCTACTCAAAACTTGAGGAATTGCCAGAGGACCTGGGAAATATAAAATGTTTGGAGGAGCTTCGTGCAAATAATACTGCTATCAAACGACTACCATCCTCCATTAATCGTTTGGAAGGCCTCAAAGTCTTATCCCTCAGTGGATGCAAGGGAACAATATCTCAATCATTTTTTTCATCTTGGTTTTTACCAAGGAAATGTGAAGATTCTGTGTATTTGGTGCTTCCTTCCTTAACAGGTTTGAATTCCTTAACAACACTTGATCTAAGTGATTGCAATCTGTCTCTAGGAGGGATCCCTAGTGACCTTGGCTGCATATCCTCTTTGAAAGACTTGAATTTAAGCAGAAACAATTTTGTTAGTTTACCTGCAAGCATATCCCGGCTTTCTCAACTTGAAAGGCTCGAGTTAGTAGGCTGCAAGAGGCTAGAAGCATTACCAATGCTTCCATCTTGTATTCTTAAATTAGTGGCAGATGATTGTGAATCATTAATAAGCATTGGAGATCTGTCTACAAATAATAGATCACTGAGTACGGTCACATTCACTAATTGCTTTCAGCTGTTAGAGAATAAATGGAGTGAAAATGTGCTTGATATGTTGCTGAGATTGCTGTTTCAGGTTACTCTCTCTTCCTCTTAATATATATATATATATATATGAGCATGTATATAAAATATGAATGAATGACATGTTTGTTGTTTTCTTGGTGCAGAAGATTTGTGTCTCAAATTCTCTTTTTATTATTTTTTTACCCGGAAGAGAGATTCCAGAGTTGTTCCGCCATCAGAATTTGGGTACTTCAACATATCTGCAACTGCCTACAGATTGGTGTAACGAGAGATGTATGGGGATTGCAGTGTGTGCTGTTGGTGACTTCGCAACTGTAAACTCACCCATGCATATGCCACAAATGGTTTTATGTTTCTCAGACCATAATAATAAACCATTTACTCTTGTGTCGGGTAGGTTTTGGTTTCCCACGAACATTTATTCCGAACACATGTTGCTGAACTATTTTCCAACTCATGTCCTTCCCAGTGAGGATGGGAATTGGAGTCAAAATCCAAACAAATGGTGCCAACTTGAGGTTTACTTTGAAATCCATACAAATGGTGCCAACTTGAGGTTGCCGGCGAAAAAGTGGGATTCCATGTAGTGTGCCAGAAAGATGTGAAACAATGGAAGGATGGGTGTGGGAATTTGGGAATCATTGACGTATCAGATGAAGCAGCAGCAGTGGAAAACAAAAATAATACTCTTAAGAGAGAGCGTGATGACTCCTTCGTCCTGGGCGTGTGGATAAATTATATGTAGTTTGGTAGAGGTTCACCCCATACATTGGAGTTCTCAAAAGGCTTGTTTATCTAAGTTTGAAAGACTGAAAAAATCTGAGGAGATTTCCAAATGGTATTTCACTTTGAATCTGTCGAGACTTTTATTCTATTAGGCTGCTTGAAATTAGAAAAGATTTGTTATGGAATGTCTATCAGAACTTTATTTTTATAGTATCTCCTACTTCTGCTTTGTGTTCTCGGTTGTTAGGGGACAGAAGAAGTTGAAGCCATAGTCTTGGAACTGCCTAAACAAGAAGTTGTTGACCTTAATTCTGATGCCTTCACAAAGATGAGGCTATTCAAAGTCCGCAATGTGGTGTTTAGTTGTGGTGGCTTGATTGGCAGGCATACCCTTCAGGCTGTTTGCCGGCAAGTTTTCAGGCTGAGAATCTTGTTGAACTTAACATGTGTTACAACATCACTAAACAACTTCGGAACTTGGTTGACCCATCCATTAGAGGTTGACCCCCCTCATACAAGAGGCTAGAAGCATTACCAAAGCTCCCATCTTGTATTTTTTAATTATTTGCAGATGATTACCAATCGTTAATAAGCGTCTGAGATCTGTTTACAAATAATATATCATATGCGAGAAAGATGTGAAAAAAATGGAAGGATGGGTATGGAAATTTTGGAATCATTGACAAGTCAGGTGAGGCAGTACCAGTGGGTCAAGAGAGAGCGTGATGAGTCTGATGATCAAAGCCCCCGCGCTAAGAGATCGAGAGCATGAATTTTGAGATCGCACCACAATTGTCAAGAAATCACTGTAAACCATTATCACAATTTGAGTAAACTTCACGAATAAGAGGAACGGTTCAATCTTTTGCATGTATTGAAAGTGAAATAGATATAAAATTTATACGTTCCTGGTTTAGTTGTTGAACAGAAGTCATCCATCACTCTAACCACATTTATATCCGTGATCAACCAAATTTATTTTCAATTTTAGATTCACCACTTCAAAAGTGTTGATTTACATAGTTTACATTCATGTTTCAGTTAATGTTGTTTATGGTTTGTTGCTAAACATATTTTAAATATTTATTTGGAAAAGTTGTTTATATAATGTGATGTATAGTGAGTTTTTTAAAAGTATTTGTTGTGAATGTTGGACCCCTTGTACCTTTCCCATGTTCTATGTAGTATTTTATTTACCTACTTTGGGAAAGTCTCTCACTTTTGAACAACATTTACATCCACGTTAATGCAAAATTACTTTGACATTGCATCATATTGACATATTGTACCATTTGAAGCACCGTAATTGTTACTCCCTCGGGCTTAAAATAAGCAGAGTCTAAAATACATATTTCATTTGAAAAGGGGAGCAAAAAAGAAAAGTGTACATATAACCATTCTCGTGTTCAAATTATACCATATAATAAGAGGCTTATAATCAGTTAAATAAAGTAAGATAGACAAAAATACAAAAATGTCCCTCAAGATTGTCTTTACAAAAATAATAAAAGTAATAAAAGATGATTAAAAGTTGAAATTACTTAAGAGGGCTTACTCAAAGAGTAAAATCAAATGAAATATAATGTAAAAAATTAAAATATAATA